CTGCCCACCACGGGTATCGAAACCCGGATTCTAGCGTTGTAAGTCCGCAGACATACCGCTGTGCTACTGGGGGGCAACAAATAGGGAGTCTAAACATGGGCAGCCCTATGTCACCTGTATTATGTGGATTGTTTATCAACAATGGTTGATACTGGTACTGGTTTAATAACGTCGACGATGTATTTTGTAGATTTGAAGACAACAACCATCAATAGTGATTTCTATAACACGTAAACAACGTTCACTCTAACATCAAATTTACTCGTGAAAAAGAGAATAAAATTCAGATTTTAAACTACATGAACATAACAACAGAAAGAAATGTGAGCGGTTTTAACACGAAAATCTTCCACAAATCTGGTAATAATAACTATATAAAGTGGAACTCAGCCCACTCAACTCAAAAATTGACACGTTATTATGCATTTATTTATTTACAACACAGTATTTAACACACGCGGCAGCAGTAATCTGTAACATGAACCAGAAACAATATCGGATACATTTTTCAACAAATGTCGCTTCCCTAAAAATATTTTCACTAGAACCTTAGCCAAATATAAGAAACAAACTCAATAACAAAAAAGAAAGTGAAAACGACATAAACTCCATAAAGGAAACTAAATGCACAAACTCATACACTCTGATGGGTGTCTTACCGTTTCGTGGCTATGTAATCAAAACATCTTAAACATTTGGAAACATGTATAAAAAATACAATCTAAACATTAAAATTATTTTTATTCAAAAAACGAGCATGAAAACCTAAGGTCATCTAAGGAAGGTTTATTTTGACAACTTAACGAAGGAAGTATCTAGAAGTATCGATGCGACAGCAGTTATATAGGCAAAACGGGATGCAACGTAAGCATTAGGATCAAAGGACACATTTACGAATACAGCACAACGAATTAAGATCCAATTAACACTAGCAACTTTAAAGTATTATGCAAGGAGAATAACTTTAATAGAAGAAAAATAAAAGAAGAATATTCGTGAACGAAAATCTAATTTAAATCAAAACAGGGGTGTCCCCCTATATCTTTATAAATTGAAACAAAATGCTCACGCAGTATTTCACGATGCTGATCACACGTGTGGTCAAAACATTGTATTAGAACTAAACAAAAAATAAACAATCCACTCAAAAGCTGTATTTCTGAAATTTTATTTAAAATGTATAGTGGATTTCCTCTATCCACAACAAGTGACTTTAACTCTGTTATTTATTTAGAAACCTACTGATAATGTAGAAGAGTATTATGTGTAATAGTGTATAATGAAAAAAAAACGAACTGTATAAATTCCTATATTTGTTAATGGTTGTCAGATTTTAGAAAAGAATTATATATATATTGTTACGACAGCGGAAGTCACGTGACGCTGGTAACACGCCATGAGATTCCTGGCAACTCTAGTCTTTTCTAGGCGCCTTCTATTTCAGTATATAAGCCCGGCAAATAATAATAGCAGATAGAGATAGAGACAGATAATTGAGTCATGTGAGCGGTAGTGACGGTAATATAAATTGTGTGTTTTGTAGATTGCAAACGTATTGACTGTGGAAATTCTGTGTATTATAAAGTTGTATCGAGAAATAATAAACTAGTTTTAGTTAAGAAAGGACTTGTATCGCTGAAGTTTCTCGGAAAGAATTTCTACGGGAAATTAAGAAACGAACAGAGAGGTAACAAATTGGTGTCAGAGAGTGGGACGAAAAAAAACAAGGAAAAAAAGAAGATGAAAACCAGAGGTGGCAAATCAAACTACAGCTTAGCAGATTTGATGGCAGCAATACAAGAACAGCAAAAGAAACAAGAACAATGAAAAAATAAAACTAAGAAGAGAGATTACAGCAGTTGTTGGAGGAAAAAAGAAAAAAAAAGAAAAGAGATTACAGCAGT